TTTTGCAGGTCTTTTATTGGGGTTCACCAGGCATATGGCAGGCAGGGGTGCTGGCCAGCAAGTCTTTACTCTATCTGGGCTCTCTGGCGTTGGTTCTGCTGCTTCTCGGCTTCTCTTTCAGCTTCGGCTTCTACTGCTGCTGCTGGCATCCCCGTGACGCCGCCCTTAAAAAAAAAAGCACAGTCTTAGCTCAGCTGAATCCCATCTACCTATGCCCACACCCTATTCCAGGTGCCCGCCATCAGGCATGCATTCAGGACAAGGATCCGTCATCTATCCTGATGGCGGAAGGGCAGAAAAGCCTGATATTTTCTTTACCCTACAGCAGGAAAGTTAGATTTGAAAGTTTCTCTAGGAAGAAAGCATTACTGAAAATGATCACTCCACCACATCCAATCTAGCTTTAAATCTGTTGAGTCTACCTCCTAATTTTCACATCCTTTTAATCCACTTTCTATCACTACTACCTACTATCTCTACCCTACTTCAAGTGACAGTGTGCAGCCCAATACGGTAGCCTCTTGAGAATGCCACTCTCACTCTTGATTCCTTTCAACTCATTTGACACACAGAAGCAGCCCAGAAAGAGCCCTTGCTTATACAGATCTCACTATGCTGTTCTTCTGCTTACTGAGGGCTTCCTGTCCACTCAGGGGTTTGTTTTGCAGCCATCCCAGGCCGGGTAGGTTCACTGTTGGTTCTAGAGATTTGAAAGAGAATTTTGAAGCTCTTAGCATCATTTTCATAGGTGTAAGCAGTAAGCAGGAAAAACAAACCAGCAGAGAGACAGCAACTTGAGCCCCGTTCCCCAGCATGATGCTGCCCTTTAATCCCCTCCCTCCTGGGCACAGGTGTGCATACTTGCACATGCGCACACACTCATGCTCAGGTGTCCGTAATCAGGCAAGCGTGCCCCACACCCACTGGCACACGTTAACAAGATCAAGAACACAGGTGACAGTCAGAGGCCAATGTTGTAAAAACCTGATCAACTTCATTTACCCTACAGGGTTCCTATTACCTTAGGATAAATTCCAAAATCAGTAACAAGGTCTTCAGAGTTCCTATAATAATCTCCAGCACCATTAAATATGTCTTATTGTGCTCCAGTCACTCCGCCTTCCTTCAGTTTTTCACATGTGTAAAGCTTTTTCTGCCTCAGGACCTTCGCATATACTGTTTCCTTGGCCGCAAAGGCTTTTCTCTGCTTTCTGTCTTGTCACCCTCTACTCACACTAACAAATATTTCATGTTTTAAAAGAGCCTATCCTGATAATTCTTTGTCTAGTCCTATCTAAATCAGGTTGAAAGGTTGATGCAGGGATGAGAAGGAGGAAGCCCATCTAGGGGTGAGAATGAGGGCCTGCTGATACCATCAGAAAACAACCCTGTTCCTCCTTAAACCAGTTCCCCACCTGCAAGCCCAGTTTCCCTCTCCCCATCCTATAAAACCTGCCTTCCCCTGATAATGGGCATGACTTCACCGACCCCCACCTTGGGTCCTTGAATCTCTGGGGTGGGGGGGCTCAATAAATTTTCCCCACCTTTTAGAAATTTAGCCTGGCTCTCCTTTTCTTTACCGTGCTGAACCTTTCACAGGTGTCTCTTCAAGATGCTGTGGGATCCCCAGCCCCACCTTGTTCTTGGGGATATTGTCTTGATGCCCAGAGTTTCTGCTTGTCAGCTCAGCATAGGGTCAAAGAGGGGGCCTCTCACCAAGGGCAAAAGTCCTAGTATGAAGAACATACTGGAAAACCAATATCTGCTAAAAACAGCAGGCAGGTAATAGAGATAATATGCTTTGACCAGCAGGAACAATGGAGCCCCCCAGGCAATAGCTACTTGTCACTCCACCCCAGCTTACATCCCATTACTGCTTGCCCCATGTGTATACACTCCCTACTTACTTCCCCCACCTTTGTACTCAATGTCAATACATACAAGACTACCTTTGAGTGGAGCTGCACATTACTTCCAGCGTAGCCCCTCTAGGCTTCTCATTGCTCCACATGGACTTTGAGTAATTTTTCCCTCATCCCCGTGCCGCTTCCAACACTTCTGCCCCATGAGGTGACAAAATGCTAATTATATATTAATCATTTTGTGATTATTTTCCTTTGACTCTAAGTTCCATGAGGATAGGAAGTAGGTCAGTTTATTTTACTGCATATCCTCAGTTCTTAGCAGGATTTCTGACACATAATAGATGCTCATTAAATATTCATTAAATGAATGAATACATCAATCAATCCTGGGACATGTGAGTCAAGAAGTAGGATGCAAACAAGAGTTTCTGTGTTTATTACAAAATCCCCAGAGTGGTTCAGGGGATGGTGATAAATGACAGATGAGTTCTAGTACATATCTTGAACTCAGCAGGGCAGAATAGTATAACAGCTTTAACATAACCATAATGCAAAACTTAAAACAAACTGGAGTAAGCTGATTTTTGATGTGTCTTCCTCCAAGATATTTAATACCCTCGAGAATTTCTGGTAGTTACACATAATAGGGAAATCAAGCCAATTTTTTGGGGGGGGTACAAAAATGCTGCTCCTGGCTCTTCTGCTCTTTAAATCATCCCCAATGATACCCACGCCCACTTTTTCTAAGTATGAGATTATGCTTGTTTGTACCCTGATTCACTAAAGCTGCATACAATTTCTGTCCATCACCATCTAGTTAGGCGATCTTTAAAACTGATCAAGAGAAGTACCCACATGTTCATAACTACAGAATGTTCTTACCTTACCCTCCCTGTGTGTAAATATTTGTATAGCTCAACTACTGCGAAGCCTCATTCAAATTCTCTTTATTTCCAAGTGAGTCACAGTCTCCTTCAGCCAAATTAGGAGGAAGTCTGGAATACATTCATTCAATAAAATTTCAGTGTTTGCTATGTCATGCTCTGTCCTGGGCACAGGATCAAAGAAATAACAGATCTCCTCAGATAACCTCATGAGCTTGCTTATGTTAACAGGTTTTGTCAGATTTTTGTTTCCTCCTACTTCCCTCTCAAAGTGAGCCAGCTTCTCAGTCTCCTTTGGGTTCTCCTTCAAGAGGAAGAAAAGCTCAAGGCAGAATTCTCTGAGGCTACAGTGACCACTTGTTTTATTTAGACAAAGGGCTTTGTCTTAAGCAGAAGGCTCACATGGAAGGATTCCTAATCCTAAGAAATGTATCTCAAATAGCAGGCTTGAAAGATCAATGTGAGGCCTGTGAGGTGACTTGGAACTAAATGAGGGGTACCATTAAGGTTACCTTGGCATAGTGGGAGGATACACTCTAGCTCCCAGATCCCAGGGACGTGAACCGAGATGCCCCTTAGTTCCCAGTGCCTGAGTGTGGTGTACTGTGGGGCAGGACTCAGTCACATATCAATACTGACCCTAGCCCCCCACCGCCCCCACTCTCCATACCTCAGCCCAAGGCCAGGAAGGCAACGGGCCTGTGGCCAGAGCTCTTGGAACATTTCTGGCTGGTCCTCCCAGATTGAACCTGGAAAAAGAGTGGAAGAACAGCACACTTCTTCAAGTTGATTTCTATTTTTGGACATACAATCTGGTTCAGACATTTAAATGTCTTCTTATTGTGATGAGAAGTAGGTAATATAAATCCACTAGCCTGCCAGCATTTATCAGAATGTCAAAATCAGGAACAATGAAATACTAATAATACTGAATTCTCATGACTTTTTTTAAAAAAAAAAATCTGAACATATACTTAGAAAATGAATCCCTTTGACTTTGGCAACATTACATTGAACTTAGATAGCTTCTGTAAGATTGGAGAGCTCAGAGTTTACAAATTATTCTTCTCATCAGGATAATGCAGGATATGCTTTTCTTTTTCTTTTTTTTCACTCCTCAATGTAGGTATATTGACAACTAAAAACTTTTAAAAGATGTGGCCATGGTTTAAAGGCATCTTGCTGCAGTGGAATTCCAAGTCAGGCAGATCTTGCTTCTAGGATAGCACCACCTGGGGATTGTCACAGCTTTCCAGGGCTCATTGTTTTGACAACAATCAGATGGTGAGTGTGAAACAAGCCTCCGGGATGTGCAGTGCTTTTGAGCCTTTCCTTTCCTCACTGTTTCCCCAGCTTTAGTCAGATAATCAGGCAGAAGACACCCATGAGAGTATGTGTAAATGAATGAAAGTAAGTCTAGGCAAGAATGAGACAGAGGATTAGGGAATATTTCAGCAGAATTAACTTTTGTTCCTAAAAAGGACTTTTTATTGATGACTCAGGTAGGCTGAAGACAAAGGCTGCTTTCAGGCATTTAGGGTCTTAATGATTTTAAGGGATTGTTCTTGTCTGAACACACACACACACACACACACACACACACACACACACTCATGAAAAGACCTATTGTTAGGGGGAAAAGGATGTCCTAAAGCTAATTCCATACAGGCTTTGTGGACTCCACCCCCACCCCAGGCCAAAGCCAAAGACACTGGGAACTCCAAATCCCATCACCACCAAAGGGAAGGTAGCTGGGACCTGAGGGTGGGGTTAAGCAGCCAGGTTGATATAAAAGGCAGACACGTGGGCTTTGGGGGGTCCCCCATTTTGGCTCTCCACCAGCTCGCAGCGTCTGGCCAGCTCGGAGAGTGACTTTGGGTTTCCAGGTCGTCGGATCGGGTGGGACGCATTAAAGACTTTATTTCCCTATTTTCTCCCTGAGTTGTACATTTTCCTTATTTCCTTTTCCCTTGTAAATAAACCTTTTATTAACCTTTTGTGTGTGCCTGTAGTGGAGTATTCATAAGTCCCTTTTAAGCGCGTGGGTGAGGACCCACACCCAGGCAATCCGTTCAATATCGGGGCTGCTCTATAACACTATCAGTCTTGCTTCTATTAATATTTCTCTTCGCAGGCATGAATTTGTAAAGCATAAAGGCGTATTGAGGTCCCGCCATTGTAACTTTTCAAGTACCTCTGTACTGGGGGTGAAGCTTAGAACAAAGGACATGAGCCAGAATACATTTTGTGATAACTTTTTTCTTCTCTTTAGAAAAAAAATATGTACAAAAAAAGCTAAGAAGAGCCAAATGGGAATGTCAAGAAAACATTCTGATAGGTTACAGACAAGGGTCCCTCTCTTAAAGGAGTTACACGTTAGCTAGTACCATGCTAGAAAAGTGAGATGCAGTTAAAATTCGAGAACAGTTAAAAGCCACAAAGTCAAGCTGTTGCTCTGGGCTCTACGTTGTAGATGCTCTGATAGCCTTTCTGTAAAATAATACTGTGCAAACTGTAAAATATTCATTTTCATATAAAGTCCATACAATATGCTATACAAAACTTCTGAGTTGACAGGGGAGGCTGGTGCAGGCTGGTCTTTTGGAAAGCTGCAATGTTATTTGCCTGCCCAATGATGTGATTCCAGAAAGATCTTGAGTTTCTCAGAATGGGACAGCCGGTACCTAAGAGAGAATCATATTACCTCGCTACCCCTCCAATCCAGAATTTTCTGCCAATTGTTTGTGCAACTAGGTGACTTCATCAATGTATCTCTTTTACTTAGATGCAACAACATGGTCAGAACATACAGTTATTTTTGAAAATACCAGGTCAGAACATTTGAAAATACCAGGTCAGTTCTTTTTGAAAATTTTCTACACAATTGATTTTGAGATTTACCATTAACCAATATTGTCCTCCCTGCAATTCATAAGGTAACTTTCACTAAAATTCAAAAATTCTGGGGGAGGCAAAAACTGTGGTAGTAAAAGTTTAAAGTGAATTGGTATATTAATTTTTAATTCTGTGTCTATAAAACTGAGAAAAGAAGGTTAGTGTACAAATATCACAAAACAACATCAACCATTGAATAAATGTGGTTTTTCAATGCACACTTGAACAAGAAGAAAGTTTTGTTGGTTTAAAATTCTGGCATAAATATATTAAAGCTGATCAAAAAAAATTCAGGGCAAGCTACATCACTTTTTCATACAAAAAATGTACAAAACATTAGCCTCTAACTAGATAAACATAATACTTGTCTTCACAGTTTGACATCCAGCAACTGTGTCTTGAAGTATCGAATTGGAGGGTGATAAAATAAAAAACAGCTGTGACTCATCAGCCGTCTCAGGTGACTTCGGTCATGGAGGCAGAGTGGTTCTGCAAAAACAAGCAGATGGAATCTTAGAGATGGACATGCTCACCCTTCCCAAACCTCCACTTGCTTTCTCGTCTCCTTGAATTTGCTCGGGCTGTTTCCTCTCCCTAACAACCTCTTTCATGTTCCCTTAATTTGTTACCTCTTCTACTAAACCTTCCCTGATTTTTTTTTTTTTTTTAAGATTTATTTTATTTATACAAGAGCCAGGGTACAGGCCAGATGCGCGGGAGGGTGAGAGGATTCACCAGAGACAGAGCGGGGTACAGAACAGGCAGACTGACGAAATATACTGCTGAGGGGAGCAGCAGGCGAGACAGGAGAGGTCTGCTCACCATGTGGGTTGCTCCAAGGCCGGCGGGGATCGAACCAGCGCTGCAGAGGCTGCGGACAGCTTCACAGCATTGCGCCCAACTGCTTGCGCCACCAGGGAGGCCCTCCCTAATTTTTTAACCAAACAATTGCGTCATCTAAATTTGTTCTGTGTATGCAATTCTGTCTTCTATTAATTACACCTACTCAATGACATTCTCTTTTTTTTTTTTTTAAATTGAGGTGACATTGGTTTACATGTTTGTTTGTGTTTCAGAGGTACAGGATCTCCCCTTTCAGGTGTTACCAAAATACCCATTGTGCATTCCCTGCATACTTTGTCTTATCCCTCCTTCCCCCTCTGATAGGCCAGCTCTACAGTCAGATTTCTAGGGTTTGTTGTTTGTTTGGCTTTATCTGATCGTTTGGTTTCTCTGTATTTCACATGAAAGTGACATTATCTGGTATTTGTCTTTCTCCACCTGGTTTATCATAATCCCCTCCAACTCCATCCATGTTGCACAAATGGCAAGACTTAATCTTTTTTGATCGCTGAGTAGTATTCTGTTGTGTGTTTTACCACATCTACCTGATCCACTCGTCTGTATTTGTTTCTTTTTTTTTTAATTAATGATGTACCATTATTTTACACTCTTGTTTGTTTTTTCACAATATAGAATTCCTCCTCTCAGGTATGATCACCATAGTTTTCCCACCACCAAAGCACCATAGTCCTCCACCATAGTCCATTGTACTCTCCTCTCCCAGGCCCCCCTCATTTTCTCCTCTCCCCCTGTCCCTTCCTCTCCTCCTTCTGTCCTGGATACCTCAGTTCTATGGTCAGCTTTCAAGGGTTGGTTTTTAAGTTTGTCTTTCTTTAATCCTTTTTTGGTTTCTCTGGATTGCACCTATAAGTGAAACCACCTGGTATTTATCTTCTTATGGCTCACTTCATTTGGGATATTAAAATGACATCATTTGGTATTTGGTTTTCTCCTGACTTACCATAATCCTCTCCAGTGCCATCCATGGTGCCACAATTGGTATGAGTTTATCTATTTTGATTACTGAGTAGTATTCCACTGTATGTGTGTGTGTGTATACATACATACATATATATATATATATATATATATATATATATATATAGTCCCCCCTGCACTAAATCATATACAGTGTAATAAATCAATGTTACCTCAGTTAAAAAAAAAAAAAAGAGAAAATTTTCCAGCCAACAGCTGGAGCTGATCCACAATCCTAACGGAATACTGCACCCCAGTTATCCGCCCACATAGGCACATTATCCTGCTGAAACCTGCCCAGATAACAGATCCCCATCAGCAGTACCCCCTTCCCCAGGATGTGGTGGCTCAAAGTTCTATTGTTGTTGCTCATAGTGAACTCTGCTCTGTACCCTGAGGAGACACTGAACACACAATGGGAGCTACCCTGAGGAGACACTGAACACACAATGGGAGCTATGGAAGAAGTCCTATAGGCAGCAGTACAACAGCAAGGTGGATGAAATATCTTGGTGTGTAATTTGGGAAAAAACTCTGAGGCAAATGTCCATCTATAATCTTGAGGCCTCAAGATTGAGGCCATGAACCATTTAGGGGACATGACTGGTGAAGAGGTGGTTCAGAAGATGACTGGATTCAAAGTGCCCCCCTTTCATTTCCACAGTAATGACACCCTCTATATCCCAGACTGGGAAGGCAGAGTCCCAGAGTCCACTGATTATTGAAAGAAGGGATATGTTACTCCTGTCAAAAACCGGGGTCAATGTGGTTCCTGTTGTGCCGTTAGCTCTGTGGGTGTCCTGGAGGGTAAACTCAAGAAAACTGGTCAACTCAGAACCTGGTGGACTGTGTGTCTGAGAATGATGGCTTCTGAGGAGGCTGCATGCCAATCCATCCCAGCATGTGCAGAAGATTCAGGCATTGACTGAAGATGCCCAACCACATGTGGGTGAGGATGAAAACTGTACAACCCAACAGGCAAGGTGGCTAAATGCAGAGGGTATACAGAGATCCCTGGGGGCAATGAGAAAGCCCTGAAGAGGGCAGTGACCCAGGTGGGATGCATTTCTGTGACCACTGATTCAAGTGTCACCTCCTTTCAGCTTTACAGCAAAGGTGTGCATTATGATGAAAACTGCAATAGCAATCTGCACTGTATGCTTTTGGCAGTGGGCTGTGGGATCCAGAAAGAAAATAAGCATTGGATAAACAAAAACAGCTGGGGAGAAAATTGGGGAAACAAAGGCTATATCCTCATTGTTCAAAATAAGCATTGCCAACCTGGCCAGCTTCCCCAAGATGTGACTTCCTCAGCAACCCCTATCCGGCTTCTCTATTCTTTCCACTGTGGTGCAATGTGATAACTTACTTTGGAAGAGCCTGTGTGCTTCTCTTAAAGCAGCTGTAGTGATAAAGAGATTTTCTGCTCAGTTTCCACATTTGTTTATACTTCAGATAACACTAACTGTCCCTCTCTCCAAACAAGGCCTGTGTTTTTCACTGTGGGCACAGTGGGGATTTCCCTAACAGATGTGGGTTCTTAGGCTACGAGAGACCACCACAGTCTGCCTGGTTTGTCCTGTGTGGGGTCTCCAGATAGGCTAGACTCTCACTCATGGGGGTTAGTTTTCACACAAGATGATGAAGATAACCCGACTTCTCAATCTCCAAGCTCACTTTTATATCCTCAAGGGAAAAATTTCTGTTTTCTATCCTAATTCATAGGTATTCATATTCTTTTGGTACAAGTATATGATGCAAGAAATGTGTTTCCCTTCTTTGCATTTTAAAAACAAACCAAATACTTTCTCTTGCCTATAATTTGATAGTTAGCTATGAAATAAAAAAAATTCTATGTCAAAAAAAGAGGCAAAGATAAAGTAATTGAACAACCTAAGATAACTTATGTGCAGCTTTGGGCAGATCTTTAACTCTCCCTGTATTTTTCCTAAAAATTTCTAATATGAATTCTATAATATCACTTTTGAATGAAGTGGGGTGGGGGGTGCGCTTAGAATTCCTTTGGGAATATTTAATTTTTTTTTTTTTAACCCAGACTTCTGAATCAGAATCTTCTAGAGTAGGTCCCTGACATCTGCATCTGAGGATAGATTGCATTTTTCTTTGTGTGCTAAAGAAAAAAAAAAAAACATTTCCTCTCCATATGAAGACATAGGGATACTTTCTACCACACCCAGAGTTGACACAAATGCTTAGCTCTTGTTAAGTTCCTTTGTTAGTACACTTTGTTAATACAAAGTGAACTTGTTCAACAAAGATTCAATGGACACTAAGCTTGTTTGCTCAGGTGAACAGGGCTGGGGAGGCAAAAGTTCAGAAAAGGTGGCCTGTTTAGCTATACTGAGGGGAATCATAGAAAGCAAACATTAAAATTTGACTTGAGGTTTTAGAGAGGAAAAAGAGCACCATTTCCCTGGGGGTTCCATATGGCAAAGGGGAAGGGAAGTGACTGAGTATCATCCCCACCCAGACAGTTCCCTCCTGGAGGTATTTTGAACAGTGGGATTGATTTCATGTATGTGAATGTGACCTCTGAAGAGCAGTTCATATTTTCTCTTGGATCCCCAAAGGGTCCTCTTCCTGGGAAGATGGCTCGATCCCAGAAATTACAAAGGCGTTGGTTCTAATAGAAACCACAGCTGATGGGGTTGCAGGGGAGGGGCTTGTGCACAGGGATCACACAGCACATGTTTATTTTGGAAGAGCTGTAGTTCAGTTCCAAGTCAGCAGTTCTGTGCGGCTCAGTTCAAGAACACTATCCCCTCTAGCATGTTTCCATAAGCAACGCTGAGAGTTGCCAATTTCAAAATGGAATTCTCTTGAATGCAAATCAAGGGACAGCAGAGCAAGCAGGGCACCTAGAATTAGATGGCCTGTGTTTTAATTTTGTACGGATGCCCTTTACCACCCTACATGGACTTTTTGAGCCTTACTTCCTCTAGAAAATAGAATAATGCCAACTGCAGAATTTTTGTGAGGATTGGATGCAATGGCTTGGGACAAATGCTGATTTTCTTTCCTTGACCAACAAAGGGTAGATCCTCCTACCTATTCATCTAGAAATATCTGATACTAAAAGCAGATGCTTGATTACTTGAATCGCCAACAGTTGGTGCAGAAGGTGGCATTTGAGAGGCAACACTTTCCATCCAGTCTCCTGTAGCTTTATTTTGACCTGTGTGTGGAAGTCCTGTTGAGCGTTTCTCACCAATGACTATTTTTCATGGAGATTCAGATAGTAATTATGATCCAATTTTCAGTTCTTGCTTGTGACTGAAGTTTCTCGTCTGGGTTTTGGTTCTGGCTTGCATTTCCCCATTTACCTAACATTTATCTCACAGCTAGTGAGTGCTGGGAAATATAGAAAGTGACAGAGACTTGATTCACAGGTCCAGATCCTCAAAGGTCTCCAAGTCCTTGGGTAGGAGGGAGAGGGGACACTACTGGTATTAATTATCAGTGGTGATCACACAAGGGTGCTCGAGGGTCCTTTGACCCAAGTCAAGATCTCAGGAAAGGCCTCCATTGTATCCAGATGAGGTGACAGACGCAGAAACAAAGACACATAAATGGGAAAAGTTCATGTACTGCCTGGTGTGAACAATAAATTAATATATATATTTAATGGCTCCTTTAACTTGTGAAAGCCAGTTTTTGAAATGCTGTGTGGTACTTTATTTTTCAAGATTAAGTGTAACCCTCCTGACATCTTCCCTGTCCTGACATCTCTTGGCCTGGTCAACTATTAATGGTGCTGAGGGAGAAGAAAGCGAAGTCTAGTGAAGGCTTCGGACACCGGGCTGTGTGAGTGCCACTGGGCAGGTGTGTGGTGAGGAAAGGGCCGTTCTTAGTCCAGGATGTCCAGGGAAAAGTGGAACAACATTTACGAGTTCACAGGGATGGACATTTGTGCAACTCCGCAAATATTTCTTTTTGCTTTCCCAATTTATGTTTGTCTTCAGTTGTTTTATGTGAAAAAGAGTCAAGCACGCTGACCTCGTAGGAGACAGGAAAAATCACCGGGAGTCTCTGTCACCATATCACTTAGCTAAGTTGTCATTTAACCTGCATCACAAGCTATCTATAAATATACCAGAAATGATTTTTCAGGATATGTTATTTCTAACTAGACTGAGTCAAAATTTCCCCCTTTAATACAGCAAAGGGAAAGCAAGCCAGCCAGCAATATTGTGCAGTCAGTTTAGTGGAGTCCTCAATATTTCCCCCAAGATAGAAATAGATTTATTGCTTTGTTTTTCAGGTTCATTAAGAAAATTAGAAAGATTTCACTAAATGTAAACGTAGGAGAGCTTATCTCCAAGAGCTATCTGATAGTTAATAACCTTTAAATAGTGAAAAAATATTTTTTTAATTAATTTATTTTCGATGTAGTAACTTTTTCTTATATCCTTGTTAATTTTTGACAGTATAGGATTTCTCCCCTCAGGTGTGGTCACCATAGTTCTCCCACACCACAGCACCCACACTCCAATAAGTGAAAAATATTAATTTTTCTATGTGGATGAGGAGTACAGTATGAGCATAACTGCAAGGGGAGATTGTTTTGCTTGCCCCTTGCACCATCAATAAAAATGGTTTAGTGTTTAGTAAGGAAATGCCAAATACAAACAAGATTTCAAGATAAATGGGCTATTATAGAAAATAAGCATTTTAGTAGGATTCAGTTACCTGAGTAACTGATAACGAAAGTCACGATAACGAAAGCCCCTGTTTTACTAGTTATCCTCTCCCCTCTCTCTGCTGCCCTCCCACCTGCTGGCTATCTCCGGTATGCCTATTTTTATCTGTGAATAGGAATTATTCAGTTCAAACTTAGTGATTCAATAAGGTTTTTGTTTAAATAAGAATATATTTGCAAAGCACCTAGCAACTGTCCCGGGCAGAAAATAAGTACGAAACACCATCTTTCAAGTATTCAAGTCTCCTTCTTCAGCAAGTCTTTTCTATGGCTTTCCCTGACAGAATGTTTCATCTCTTCATTTGGATTCATGAAGCCCTCTGAGGACCTCTCGGTCAGCACGCCATAGGAGGACCACTCATTTACATCCGCTTTCCTGATCATCTGTAAATTCTTTTAAGGGCAAGAACTATGTGGTTAACTACTTTCTGTATCTCTGGATGAAGCAAGGTGCTGGTGTAAACAAGAGAATGATAAATATCGTTGCATTGAATTTTTGGTTGTTGTCATCAAAATAGTTCCCAAAGGACACTTAATAATCACCTTTTAAATGGAATTCCAATTTACATTTATCACAGGAAATCACAAGCCTTTTTCTGTCAAGTATTGTCCTAGTTATTGAATCAATTTGCCTGCCACAAAATTGATCCACATTTCATCAATGTGGCATTACAGAGGAGGTGAAGCAGCTAGGACTCAAGTTAGATGTAACTAAGAACTTCCTGAGGATTCATGGTTGCCAAGTCCCGGGATGACTCATTGAGGGGAGCTGTGACTTCCCTGAGGGACTTTACCATGAATGCATCAGATTTTTATTGGCTGCTGGCTGGATTTAGTGATGTCTCACTTGCAGTAGAGGAGTGGATTAGCTGAGCAACAGACCTCCTAGGCCTGCTAAAAGCACTTTACTGTACCTGAGCACTTAAGGTTTCCAGAGGGCTTTCTATCCTTGGGAAAGCCATTAGGGGTACTCCACGGGGATCCTCAGGTTTGGGTTTGGAAGGAGATTCTTGTGTTCCTCTAAAATTATGGACCACACACATTCCCTGTAGGAAAAGGGGAAAAAAGGAAGGGGTCAGATTGCAGACACCAGTGCCTGGCCCTCTCTGAGGGAGGCAGGCCTTTTCCTTACAGTATCATTGCCATAGTGATTCTTCCCCTTTGAATCAGTGGGGAGGGGATCCTGGAGAGACCCAGGGCGTGACCCAGGGCATCTGCTGAGCACAGTGTAAGTGCTGAGGAAGCATCTGTTTGATCATCAAATAGCCAGTGATAATCAATCAACCCCCATGGAACCTGTTTCCTCACCCTACAAACTGGAATAATAATACCTACCATGCAATTTGTAAGCTTTAAAAGACCCAACAAACATAAACCATCTCCTAATAACAGGTAACATTTACTCAGGGTCATTACAAGTCTGGCACTGTTCTGAGACTTTTCCTTATTTCATTTTATCCACTTAGCAATCTTAGCAGGAAGACACTATTATCATCTCCAGCTTAGACAAGAAGACTCAGAGAAGTTAGGTAACTTGCCCAAGGTCACAGACATTTAAACCCTATTGCCTTAAATAACATCACTAATATTTTGCCTTACAACAAGTGTCAAAGATATTGCAAATACTCAATGCTAGTCTTTACCATCTACCTAAGGTGCTCATTTTTATACTACATGACAACTATTTTCTTGCTATTAAATAACTCACTAGCAAGACTTTTATTGTTTCCATGAATAGACTTTCCCACAAATTACTACCCACTGAGGTCCCTTTCTGACTGAGCCTGTTTTTACCATCTTCTCTACTCGTTTGCATGCAGTGCTTTTCTGCCTCTTTCCATACTCTCCCTCCCATGTTCTGCACCTTTGTTCCTAGACCCAGTACCTTTGACTCATTCCTTTCACTCCTCAAAACCTGCAAAGCATTTACATAAATACTCTCTACCTGGCTCAGTCTGCTCCAGCTCTGTTCATTCTTCCTGCTTTCTGGAGCTGGGAGAAGTGGAAGGGGTAAGGGCTCTGGGGGTGGAGAGACACAGGTCAGGTTGTGGCTTATTGGCTGCTATCTTTGAGCCTCACTTTCCTCATCTATAAAAGGAGGGCCAGAATATTGCTAGGGCTGGCCTAGCAATAAGGTGCAGGGCAGGTAGCAGCACTCCAACTGCTCAGTTTCTTTCCTCCTCCTTCCCACCCCACACACCCACAGAAACTGCATAGAAAACAGATGGAACAGTAATGAATATATGCTGAAGACGATCACATTCGCAGACACTGCTCTTTTCTCTTTTCCCTTTTCCCCTGTTTTTGACACATGTCTCTGCTTGGGATTATCCACAGTCTCTTCCACAGCATCCTTCCCCGCTATTTCTCAGCCCTGCGTGTGCCTGTGAGGAGGGGAAGTGCAGGTCCAGTGTGGCCAGTCTCCCATCAGAGCCATTCAGGAGCAGGCCTGGGTCTTCCATAAAGACCATTTGTGGAAAATAAATGCCATTTGCAATCAGTTGGGACGGTAATAATAGACCAAATAATGACTGAGTGGTAAGAAACAGGGCTGCAGGTTGCTGAGAGAAAACAAGTTTAATGTTGAAACAGAATTTGTATATGGGGCTTCAGCGAACACAAAGGATTTCATTCCATAAAGACCCCTGCAATTGCTTGGGACAATCGCTCCTTTCTCTCCAGCTGGTGACGACTGGCTTCAGAATGGATGGATACAAAATTGTTTGGTTTTTCCTTTTGAGCACAGGCCTTCATTTATGTACCACTTATGTTCTTTGAAAACCCTCACTTTTCTTGAAGTCATCTGTATTCTTTCCTCTTTAAAAAGCAATCGTGGGGGAAATAACCCTGGTGAGATACTAAAATCTGAGGGTCATCTCAATACCACTTTTCCTGTAGCTTCTTCACCTAGAGAATTTGCATTTAAGTCCTTCACCTTTTACTGTTAGATGAAAATAATCCATTAGAAATAATTTGAGTTAGAGCGGAGCTTCCCAATCAGTGTTCTGAGTAAATTGGAGCATTTTCTGTTTATATCTTCACAGGTAAAGAAGCTGGGAAGCCATGAGTTAGCAGTTGGGAGAGGCATATATGTTTTGTATGTTGGGGAGGAATAGGAAAGGACCTATTCCGTGAAATCCATTTTGTGCAGTGCCAGTCTTTGTGGGTGCTGTGGAGGAGAGAAAGGGCAGACCGGGAGGGGAGACAGCCAGACTGTGACGGCCTCTGTCTTCCAGGGAAAGCGTGATGAATATTATCAGGGGCTTCATTTTCTGCACAACATACAAATCTCCTGGGCTGAGGACATACTAAAGAAGTTTGGGGCCTATTTTCCATCCTTGAAAAGAATAAAAGTCCTATATACTGGTACCTCCCTGGCAAAGCCATGTAATGGAAAAAAGGGAAATGAATCGTTGAATTGATGCTATCACATTGATTAGCCTCAAAATAACGATGCTGGGTGAAAAATGGCAGGGAAAAATGCAATACATCATATGCGATTTGGTTTATATGAAATCCTAGGAAAGGTAAGCTAGAATGACAGAAGGCTCAGTGGTTATGGGGAATGAGGAGAAGGGAAGGATGTACGTGAAAATTGATCAAATTGTACACTTTGCCAGCTATTCCATAAGCTTATCCTTTTCAGAAAACCTGTACAAAATAAAAATAGAACAAAAACAATGAAAATCAACCTCTTTTTGTCCAGTTCAACTCAGGTTAGGGGATTTCTCAGTTGAGTAGGTGGCCAGGCCTTTTTCATCTGTTTGAGGAACCCAAACTTCATTGGAAATGAAGGGACTAATCAAAAATTTTCTCTAGGAAGATAATAATACATGGATAAGAAGATACTTGTAGGAAATAAGATGCTGCAATGATCTTTATGGAAGACCCAGGCCTGCTTCTGAATGGCTCTGACGGGATACAGGCCACACTGGACCTGCCCAGCCCCTCCTACATGCACACACTGGCTGACAAATGATGGTGAGGATCCTGTAGAAGAGGCTGCAGGCATTTCAAATCAAAGAAATGTGTAGGAAACAGAGAAAAAGAGATCATCACACAGGCCTTTTAAAAAGTCTGGGTGTGCGGCTGAGGGTTTCCACATTTCAGAGTGGCATACACAAGTCCAGGCCAGAGCTGACTTTCTAGGGAGGCTGGAGACACAGATGACTTGAAGTCATCTGTATTCTTTCCTCTTTGAAAAGCAATCTTGGGGAAAAACCCTGGTGAGATACTAAAGTCTGAGGGTCACCTCAATACCACTTTTCCTGCAGCTTCTGCACCTGTGGGATTCCACCAAGGCTCTTTGGTTCTGTGTTCCTCCCTCAAACAACCCTGAGCTTCTGCTTACAGTATATCCTGAGAAAATATCTGGAGGACACTGGTTTGAAGGTATGCCAAAATCTTACTCGGCCTGGCCCCAATTCCAGCCCAGGGTTGAAGGAAGTAGAATAAGCTGTCCTCCCAGGATAATCCTTTTTCTGGCTCCAAGAAGGACTCTGCAATCACATTTGTGAAAGAGAGGGCGCTTTAGAAATCATTTTTGCCCACAAGGATATATAATACTTGGAGAAAAACTGCAACTCACAAGGCTGGGGCAAGAGGAGTGAACTTGGACTGTGAAGCCTGGGAGTGTTGACTCTGCATGCTCTTGGGCAGCCTGTCAAAGAAAGAAAAAGCTGGAAAGAGGGAAGTTGACCTACCAGAAACAGGGCCACAGCAGTGCCCAGGATGAAGCCTGCAATCACGTCGGAGCAGTGGTTCCGATATTCAGAGACCCGGTTGAGGCCCGTCAGGAAGGCTGTGCAGAGGGTCCCGAGGCACAGCACTGGCTTGGCCAGTCGACTGCTCTTCGTCTTGATTGTGCTTGTGATGTACATCTGGCACAGGACAGAGACCAGGGAGTGACTGGGAGCCTCCTCATAAGGTTTATGCACACACATGCGCATGCAAACACACAGAGGTTTGCACCAAAGCAGCCACACCAAGGAGTTGAACAATTCCACTAGCTACTTTGTAAAGAATTAGGGTGGGAAACTAGTGCAACCACAACAGTGACCAGATGTGCATTATAGTGACATGAGAACACTTGGTTTCTCTGTAGCCAATTGAAGAATTCAGGTTATTAGGAAATTCAGGTAAGAGTCCCAGGTACCAAATAAGCCATCTTTGAGATGAATTTTATGGAGAAGATCACGTAAGTAGTTATTGAACATTTTACTTTTTGCATTCTCCATAGTTCTAAGTGAACTGTGGAACACTATTCATGTTTTCAGACAATGAATACAAGTATTGACTAATCAGCTGATTGGGTTAGAACTTCCAAACCAGTGTCACATGAATAGGTTTCAGATGTGTTGGAAAGTTGAATCCCATATTCTTTGGGGCATCTGTGATCAGTTCTATCCATTTATTTACTCTAGCATGTTCTAAAATACTACACTTTTCTGTGTCCTACAACTTACAACAGGTTGAGACTAAGTAAAGGATGATACAATTTGTTTCACCTAAGCGTAAGAGTTAGGCTGCTATTATTTCATTTTCAGGAGCTGGGTAAGACTCTGAAGTTTCCTAGGCTCAGTTATCAAGTGTCTCTGGTGACCTAGAGTTAGAAAAATCTGCCTCTTTCAGATAAGAAAAGGGTTAGGTCACTTTTTGTGAGATTATAAGGAACCACTAGAGGGCACTATCAATCTATCGTTCATTATTTCTTTAATATCAGCGATAAATGAGTTTGCAACCTTGAAAAATAGTATGTTGATATTTAGAATCCATAATGCATTTGTATGGCCTAAGCACATACAATTTAAAATAGATGCATTTTACAATCTCATAATAGAGATGGTTAATTTCCTAGAATGATGCTTCAAGACTGGTGTGAATACAGGAAGATGGGATTCATTTTTATATATGTAACAGATGTCCTACAAAACTGTTAGATTGAAGTTACAGAAATTAGAGCATATTATTACACCTTCTGGTTAGTTAGTATTCCTCACAATATTAACTAGTACTTAAGAAATCCTTGTTCAGTAATTTCTGAAAGCACTTAACATATAATAGGAGCTCATAAAATGTTTGCACAATGGGAATTTTGTATCAGGGTTTAACTGATTATAGCCTGTCTGTAGGGCATGACTTGAATTGGATTATATCTGAATCCTTGAAAACATGTGTTATGGCAGCATCTATTCTGAGAGAGCTGATTACTTCTTTCTTCCCCAAAGAAAATTTATCTCTCATTTGATGAGATGGCACTTCAAGCAACGGATTTGTTTTTAGAATGGTGGTGCAAAAATTCATTTTACAAAGCAATGACTTGCGCCTGATAAAAACACAGAAAAAGGCGTAAGAGTACATTGCTTCACATAACTTTTGTTCTGATAACTTAGGACAAATCAATATTTTACAAATTGGAAAATATGTTCAATGCCTGTGAGGACTGCTTTGTTTAAAAACTAGTTGGTATTGTATTTTTTTCCCTTTATGTAAAGTGAAGGAGTCTTACCAAGTTACAATTGATCTGTTTTGTAAATTGAGGTTTCTATATATTTATGTTCATGTTTCTTAATGTGGTAGCAACTGACATGACTTCTATCATGTATTTATTAAGGAGCAGATCCAAAAGGAATAACTATAAAACTTATTTTGGATAGTTGGTGGTTGACAAATTGCTCCTATAAATGTGATCTTGTAAATGGGACACAAAGGAAGCATTGTTTTAAAAAGAATATTCAGCAATTTATTTTAAACTGTATAGATAGATCAGACCTGTGGTCAGTCACCTTTTTTCCACCCTGGATGTACATATTCAGGGAGATAGCAGGGACACTTCTCTCAGGGGCAGCCTCTCTTTGGAGAGCCCTGTTACTCTCACTATAGGGGACTGAAACAGGCCCCCGGGGGGGGGGGGCGGGCAATGGTGCACTCAGAATCTCTGGGAAGAATGGATTGTTTATGGTTTAATTTTTTTTATTGAACTGTATTATTTTAAATCCTTGTTCATTTTTTTCACAATAAAGAATTTCTTCCCTCTGGTGCATTCACCATAGTTCTCCCAGCACCAAATCACCCATAATCCTCTAGCATAGGCCTTTTTCCTCCCCTCCCTGTTTATCTTCCTTTCTGGAGGCTTCAGGTCTATGATCAGCTCTCAAGGGTTGGTTTTACAGTTTGTCTTTCTGATCTTTTGTTTGGTTTCTCTATATCCCACAGATAACTGAAACCATTTTCCAGTGTTTATCTTTTCTTTCTGGCTTATTTCACTTAGGATAATCCCTTCCAGTTTTATCCATGTTGCCACAAATGACATGAGTTTATCCTTTTTGATCACTGAGTAGTATTCCATTGTAGAACTCAACAACAATCAACAATCATCCCAATCAAGAAATGGGCAGAAGAGCTAAATAGACACTTCTCCAAAGAAGACATTCAGATGGCCAGTAGGCACATGAAAAAATGTTTATCATCACTCATCATCAGGGAGAAGCAAATCAAAACCACAATGAAATACCACCTCACACCTGTGAGAATGGCCCACATCGAAAAGATTAAAAACAACAAAAATGGATGGTTTAAAGGGGGTCTTTCCTCTGCTTCTCCTTCTCTCACCTTTCATTGAGGGCCACCAGACTAGTGATACCCTGAATTTAAAATGAGTTGAAGTAAAGAAAACAGGGTGTTTCTGACCAACAGGTGCTCTTCCACAGGTAAAGGAGTATGATATCCCTATCCTTCGGGACTTTTGGTTCTAAGGAAGCAGGGGCCAAAAGATGGTGTGATAGGTTATTTGCAAAATGGATGCTATTAAAGAGTAAATTCAAAATGCAAAAAAAAGAATTGGCTCAATTCCAAATGAATGCGATAAGGAGTAGGAAAATAAGAGGGATGTTTAGTTTCTTCTTACCTTTTAAGAGGTGAGACATGTTTTAGATTTTCTCTGTGATGAGGACAAAACCAGTTAAAGAGAACATTATACTCCATGGAGTGGGGTGGGGCGCAAAACCCTTGTGATTTGAGAGCAGTGAGAAGTGAACTTTTGGGCACTGGGGGGCTTGTAGGATCAGTCATCTTTCCTGCCAAAGTTATGGAGAAGGAGCTGAGGAAAGCTGTGCCTTCATCCTCATCTGCTGCACTGATGGGACTGCCCTTCACATAAGGCCCACACCTGCAAACTTGTAGGCAGGTGTGAGGAGTGTGTGTTCTGAAACCAGCCACAACTTTGGCAAAGAATGCTGTCGTGGGCAGGGAGAGAGTCCCAGGCACTATGTCAAAGTCTGGGTGCCAGCTCCAACTTTGTTCTCAGCTATACTATGGAACTCAGCTTCTCAGAGGCATTGACTAAGTGATTATCAATATTCTTTCCAGAATGAAAATCCTGTAGTGGCTTAGGATTTACACTGGGATAATATGGGGTGGGGGTGCACAACAGTCTCATATAGTACAGGAGAAACATGTTGCCACACGACTTTAAAAATCAGTATAAGTGACAGGGACAGAAGGGTTGAAGTGGGCAGAGACATATCCCAGACAAAACTTGTTTGGGGGAGACAGCAAGACTCACAGTGGCATATAAGGCGGAGTAAATGCTCAGAGCAGCGTGTTTGGAGGGAAAGGATCTCCGGGCCTTTTCTATCACTTCTAGGTCTCCGGTGCAAATATTGCCATTGCTTATGAACTGCTGGTGCGCTCGGCAGTCTGTGCTGGTGTAGTTCGGCTTGCATACCGTCAGGAAGTATGGTGTCAGGTGCCCTGTGACCACTTGTCCGGCATTTACAAAAATGTCAGTAGCAAAAAGTCCAAACGCAAATACCCCTGTAAGGAGATTTAAAATAATTAGGGTTGTCAACAGACATCGTTGATTGGTTTTGTCCCTGGGAGAAAACAGGACAGTGAGAACCTGCCATGACCTGTCAAATAGTCCTCCCTGTATACAGTTGTCCCTTTATTTTTCCAAGGAGCAGTGCCTGCTTCCTAAAATGCTATATTTTCCAAATTGATGCAGACCTTCTGCTGTAAGCAATTTATTGTTCTGTATAAGTAAATTAGAAGCATGTTCCCATGGAAAGAATATGCATTTAGGAGTTCTTATAAACCTGGGCTCCAGTCCTGCCTTTGTGATTCATTCACATTATCAGCTGTTTAGTTGCTCTGAATCTTGGTACTCAGTCACAAAGTGGGTGGGGTGTGTGAAATCTCTGAAATTGGTAGGATAGATGAAATAAGATGTGTGCAAAACCCCATGATGGTGTCTGGTCTTCAGTGGTCATAGAAAGTCAGTTTTTTTTCCCCATCTAATGAAAATACTTTCTCCCTGGTCCTGTTTGCAAACACATCATGTCCTCGAGGTTACCTATAGTATGGCAGGTGAGAGTGAATGGAGGTTGTTGAAAATTGCCTCTAAAAAGAAATATGAAAAAAAGATCATTCCAGGAATATGATTGAATTTGCTATTTCCTTTGAGGTTGGGAACACAAAGTGAGAACGCTGGGAACACAAAGATGAAAGCAGTTGCCCATATTGGTTTTCTGTTATTACTGCAATAATTACCACACACCAGGGGCTTAAAACAACATGAATTTATCTTCTTACAGTTATAGAGGTCAGAAGTCCAAAATAGGTTTCACTGGGCTAAAACCAAAGTTCTGGAAGAGCCATATTCTTTCTGGAAGATCCAGGGTAGAAGTCACTCATTGCCTTTTTCCATCTTCTAGAAACTGCCTCCATCCCTTGACTTGTGGTCTTCTTCCACAACCTCCCCATCATGATCTGTTTCCATGGTCCCCTCCCTGTCTCTGCCTCCCTCGCTTCCCTCTTGTAAGGACTCTTTCATTATACTGGATCCATCTGGTTAATTCAAGATCACCCCAAGAAACTTACTTTAATTGTACCTACAAATTCCCTTTAATCATGTAAGGTGACATATCAGCACTTCCCCAGGAGTAGAGCCTGGGCATTTTCGAGAGGGACGGGTATTCTTCCTACCACACTTCTGTGACTGGCTGGCTATAAGCCCTGCGGGCAGGCTCCGATTCTTGCATCTTACCTGTTTTCTGGTAAATTCCACATGATTAGCCCCAATAAGCTTGAACACGAATAAACAGAATTTGTTAGAAGTGCTTCATTGTGAATACTTTCAAAGTCTGTACAATCATTTATTGATTACATGTGGGCTCTGGTCTGTTCAATATGTCAAGAGAGGCTCTGCACAGCTAAGGTACACACAAGCAGCTTGGGGGGCTCAAACCTTATCCAATGCAGCTCATTTATGGGAGAAGTTGGCAAGTGTGATAGCACCCTTAGTTGTAGATGTCAAGGGTCTGCTATTATTTCAATTCAATTCCTACGCAATTTTGTCACCCACATCTAGAGTCCTAAATCTGCAAATTGTGCTGATTTCAGCTTCCGAAAGTTAATCCATTATCACAGAAGTAAAGACAAGTTTGGCTGAAACCTTCATTCGGTTTTCATTTTGATCTGTATTAATTGCTATAATTTTCCTTTTTGTGGCTTTGCCAGGACGCCTTTATCACAATGAGAATTAGTTCTTTTAATAGCATCCGCCAGCTCAGCACAGGGCTGACCGCGGGGAGGGGCAACATTGCTCACTTGAGGCAATTTTCACCCACAGGTTCTAAAAGTCTGAATGGTACATCATCAAGTCAGATCCTCAAAGACTAGACTTCTGGCCTCTTCAAGGGGCAATAAGTCTATCTAGACATGGCATTCCAGGAAACTAGGGTAATTTATGATTTGAAAAGGGGCGGGTGACGGCACTTTCCTCTGGCATTTTATTTGTTGCGAGTGCTTGCAGAAATGGAGGGCTTGATCTTTGTGAGAAAGAGGATTTCTGGGATCCTTGGGCTGGTGTCTGAAGTTCCAGTTCTGTGACCATTGAATCTGTGATGGGCAGCTCTCCCCTGCCCTATGGTGGGCATAGCTGAAAGTTGCTTTTTGCCCCTTCTGGAAGGTGTCTTCATTCCCTGATGGCTTCCCAAGCAAGTGCTTTCCTAACATTTCATTCTTGTGCATTTGCCCTGACTTCAGGAGGGCACTGAGGCAGCCCAGGAGTCCACCTTCGGGCACAGACCATGCCGACAAAGGGTGGTCGGGCCCCAGGGTGATTCACAGATAACGCTGATCATACAGGAATTTTGTGAGAAACTTCAGTCTTTCTTCTTTTACTTAGCTCTGAGCTCCTTGCATATATTTTATAAGCCACAAAAGCTAAAAATAGATACTTTTGTCCTCAGAGTCAGGTGGGACACAGTGGTCTGTATTACATGGTCTGGTTTGAAGGAGATGCTTAAAAAATGTCTATAGATCTTTCCTTGATCCTAAATTCTTTAAGTGAGATCATATTTTTGATTTTAACAGATACATGTGTAATTCCTGTAACCCTCCCTAGCTGGTTCTATTTATCTGCTGGCTCTGTTCCATTAGTGGTGTTCCTTGCTTCAGGGGAGCTAATTAGATTTCTCAATGAATTTATATCAAACAAAAAAGTCTAAAAGTAAAGTGCTTTTGATTTGCCAGAGCTATGCGCTTAAGACAAAGACATGTAATTGTCATTTCTTTGTTTGGAAATCTTAAAAGACTTGCATGGGAAGACCAAGAGCCATGGTCTGGAGGACGAGACCCCTGAGTTTCTAAAATCAACAGGAGAACAGGGGAGGATGTCAACCAAGGAGGAAACAGCCCCTGCTTGGACAGGCCACACAAGCATGTCCCTGCTCCCTGTCTCCTGCTGGTTGTCAAACTCCAGGGGCAGGGTACTAGAAATCTCCTGAATGGGTTTTGAAAATCCAGTTGAAGTGTGTCTTGTGCCTCTTGGGGTGCAGCTCAGGAGGCTTTTAGAGAAGTTTCACATCTGACATGGTATCAGACAACAGATGCCCATGTTAGCCATGTTGAAGGGGAATTTGATATTTGTGCTATTATTCAATAATGTCCATCTTTTCCATTAGATCTATAGAATATACAAGCTCTTAGGGGCAGAGGATATCTCTATTTATGTTTAACACTGTATCCCGGACACCCCAAGACAGACACATAGTCAACACTTAATAGGTATCTGTGGAATCAATGAATGAATTACGGAAGAAATCGCAGAGATTAGCTGAAAAGGATCAAAGAGCATAGGAACTTGTCCAAATTTTCTAACTTATGTTACTATCTTACATCCCTGGTTCTACTGGACATAAAGTTGACATCAAACCATATAGCATGCAAGTTGTAGGGACCATATCTCTTGTTTTATAAAAACTTCACAAAATCTAGCACAGTGCAAGGCATCTAAAGAGAACAACTGAAAATGGGGACTTTATAAATGTCTCATGAGTGAGTAAACTTACAAATAATAATTTGGAAATGAAAGCATTCTCCATTTTCAATGTGACAGGAATGAAAAAAGAACATTAAATTGGAGTATGAGCCAAGATGTACACGGGACAAGTCTTTACCAGGGACATCTGGGATGCATAATAACCTTGGGGAACGCTGATGGGTTATATCACATCTTTGTGCATGAAAGAAGTGTACCCATTTCTGATTTGGAAAGTTGCAATTGTTGTCATTTTAAATATTAACACATGGACACATGAAGGTGTGGATTTCCACATTTCATGTGAAAAAACTAACACACAGAACTTAAAACAGAAAAGGATAGTAAAAAAGACACAAGAACAATTTATCTGGGTAAAGTACATAATAATATTCTGAAAAGGAGAGGAATCCTGCTCCTTCCTCAATGTATGTTCTCAACCTCTTATCAAACATTTCTAAACGAGAGCAGCTTGTTTTTCTGTGTGTGGCAAAACAATGCAATGAGAGAATGAAAGTTCTCTGTGCATGTGATACAAAGACCATTTGGACATTTTTTTTTCATTTTCAAAACATTAGGCAGCTTTGTGAACCTTTTGCGGTAGTTTTTCTACCATGATCTTTAAGACACAAGAAAATTTACTCTGCTCTCAGTTCCTGGTCTTTGTTTCAATGGGGAAATTGATGAATACTTTATCTCACTCTAAGACGTACATACACTTGGTCTGGGTTCACCTCACTGTTTTTGACAGAAGAAGGGACACATCTCAGGAATTCTTATGCTCAGTTTCCTCAAAGTCCATCCTGACTCATTCACCAGCTCTTAATTCCAGATAAGACCTTTCATCCAATGGAATATAAGAGACAAAGAAATGAAGACAGTTCCTTTTTGCCTTTTCTTTTGTCACATCAAGATCCTCAGTGAAAAACTTTCTCACTGGAGAAAGTTATTTAGCTATTGCGAATGTGTCCTCAATTAAGCTGGGAAGACCATTCATTCAGGAAACAATTGTTTAAGAAAAGATGGTAGGGTGAATTCTCTTTATCCTGCTTTATTGAAACTAGAAGTTTCCTAATGAATGCTTTTATCTGTGGTTACCATGTTCATCAAGGATGTACTGAGCTGATGAGGTGTTTGAATAAGCCTGCCATGGATACTAGGTAATAAATAATAATGATAATAAAACTAGTAATAACCCAGATACTGTGCTTAATATTAAGTATTATCCTCAATGCTTTGAAATATTAGTTTACTTAATCCTTACCACAACTCTATGAGGTAGACACTATTATTTCTTTATTTTTAATTGCATTATGTTTTAGGTGTGTGTCATTATAAATCAACATCTATATATATATTATATTAAACTTACACTAAAAATCTGATTCTATCTTTCACCATACAATTGACTCCTTTCATTTAATATATCTACTCCTATTCCTTCTTCCCTTTTGGTCTTTAGAAGTTTATTTTTGTTTCATATAGTTCATTT